GGAGGGGGTGTTACCTTATAGGCCTGGTAGTGCAAGAACGAACTAAACGCCCTGCTCGCAACGTCAGCCCTTTTTCTTTACAACTCGCCGTGGCAGTGTGTGAAGTATTCCTCACCACTGGAAAAGGAAGGCCGGTCTAATGTGTTGTGTAGTTCGGGGTAACTGTGGTCGGGATACAGTGCGGTCAGATATGTCGTGTACTCCCCCCGTCTCGAAATGAGACACACACACAACACGTTGAAGGTATAAATAAATAACGTCGTGAACTGCGTGTGTGTTGCGTACCGCATTAAAGGTGACCCCTGTCCCCCCTGTACAGGCGGCGTGGAAAAATCTTTATGACAACACACAGGGGGGTGAAATGTTTATAAAAATAATAATAAAAAATTGCGTTAGGCAGTAGCGGTGCCTCCTCGTGTGTCGGAGACACTCGCTCGCTCGCGCTGCTTCTCTCTCTCTCTCTCTCTCTCTCTCTCTCTCTCCTTCTCTCTCTCTCCTCTCTGTCTCTCTCACTCACTCTGTCGCTCTCTCTCTCTCTCTCCTCTTCACTCTGTCACTCTGTCACTCTCTCTCTCTCTCTTTCGCTTTGTCTCTCTCTCTCTCTCGCTTGTCTCTCTCTCTTTTCGCTCTTGCTTCTCGCCTCGCTCTGTCTTCTCACTCTTTCTCTCGCTCTGTTCTCTCTCTCTCGCTCGTCTCGCTACTGTCTCTCTCTCGCTCACTCTGTCTCTCTCTCTCGGCTCTGTTCTCGTCTCGGCTTAACTCTGTCTCTCGCTCTGTCTCTCTCTCTCTCTCGCTCGCTCTTGTCTCTCTCTCGCTCAACTCTGTCTCTTCTCTCTCTCTCGCTCGCTCTGTCTCTCTCTCGCTCTGTCTCTCTCTCTCTCGTCTCTCTCTCTCTCGCTTCACTGTCTGTCTCTCTATCGTTCACTCTGTCTCTCGGCTCGCTCTGTCTCTCTCTCTCTCTCTCTCTCTCGCTCTCTCTGCTGCGCTCTGTCTCTCTCTCTCTCTCTCGCTCCGCTCGCTCTATTCTCTCTCTCGCTCTCTCGATACCTCTTGGTGTGGTAATAGATAATTATATTTATTTCAGTCTTTACTAAGGTTACGCATGATATCCTGTCATTTTTCAACAATCATTTTATACGTATTAATTTTTCTTTATTACGATTGAACCATTGTATTCTAATTCTTATTGTTCAAATTTACTAAACAATAACCAACACTAGTATAAGATTTCTACAACCTAATAACTTTTCATATGTCGAGGGAAAGTAGACATCACAACTCTCGACATAGGTAATGTAAGTACAACACGAGTTTTACGTGGTCTAACTTACGTAAATTGAAGTGTAAATTTTTATTTAGAAAGCCCCCCTCGTACGGGGGCCTGGGGGGATCTCCTCCCACTCCAGGTGGGGTTATTTCGTCCAATTCATTAATTTAAACTTATGTACAAGAAAAATCAATTTGTGACCCACCTTTGCCCAGGGTGTCTGGGTTTGTCGTGTGTTTCCAATTTTACAGTCTCGTATATCATGTACACAGTGGTGACACGAATCCACTCTCGATGAAGTGTTTTTGTTCAGCTACTCGTGAACCACAATCATAGACCAAAACGTCACATATTTGAATGTAATGTCAGTAGTACACAGCACAATCTGTGAAAAGGTTTAGCTGAAGGACACCTAGCGGTATTGTCCATCCGTTACAGTGTCCTCGATAAACCTATTTCACAGATTGTCCACTTGTATTACAGTACAACTACATCACCCGACGCTTGTGACACTCAGGGACTAGCGATTGTGTTCCAACATAGGTGACGTGTGATCGAGAGTATGATCTTGTACAAACCACTGGGGACGTATATACAGACTGTAAATTGGAAACACACGACAAACCCAGACACCCTGGGCAAAGGGTCACAATGATTTTCTTGTACCATAAGTAAATTAATAGAATTGACGAAATAACCCACCTGGAGTGGAGGTAGATCCCCCCAGGCCCCCGTACGAGGGGCCTTTCTAAATAAAATTTACAACTTCAATTTACGTAGTTAGACACGTAAAACTCGTGTTGTAACTACATACCTATGTCGAGAGTTGTGAAGTCTACTTTCCCTCGACATATGAAAAGTTATTAGGGTTTGTAGAAATCTTATACTAGTGTTGGTTATTGTTTAGTAAATTTGAACAAAATAAGAATAGAATACAATGGTTCAATCGTAATCAAAGAAAATATATAGTATAAAATGATTAGTGAAAAATGACAGGATATCATGCGTAACCTATTAGTAAGACTGAAATAAATATAATTTATCTAATTACCACACAAGAGGGATCGGAGAAGCGAGAGAGAGAGATAGCAGGCGAGCCGAGCGAGAGAGAGAGAGAGAGACAGAGCGGCGAGAGAGAGCGAGAGAGTAGAGAGAGAGAGAGACAGAGCGAGCGGAGAGACAGAGTGAACGAATAGAGAGACAGAAGTGAGCGAGAGAGAGAGAACGAGAGAGAGAGAGACAGAGCGAGACGAGAGACAGAGCGAGCGAGAGAGAGAGAGAGAACAGAGTGAAAGGCGAGAGAGAGACAGAAGCGAGCGAGAGAGAGAGAGAGACAGAGCGAGAGACCAGAGTAAGCGAGAGAGAGACAGAGCGAGAGAGAGAGACAGAGTGAGCGAGAGAGAGACAGAGCGAGACAGAGCGAGAGAGAGAGAGAGAGAGAGAGAAAGAGTGAGCGAGACAGAGCGAGCGAGAGAGACAGAGCGAGAAAGAGAGAGAGACAGAGCGAGAGAGAGAGAGGACAAAGCGAGAGAGAGAGAGAGAGTGACAGAGTGACAGAGTGAGAGAGAGAGAGAGAGAGAGAGTGACATGATGAGTGAGAGAGACAGAGAGAGAGAGAGAGAGAGAGAGAGAGAGAGAGAGAGAGAGAAGAGAGAGAGAGAGCGAGCCGAGCGAGTGTCTCCCGACACACGAGGAGGCACCGCTACTGCCTAACGCAATTTTTTATTATTATTTTTATAAACATTTCACCCCCCTGTGTTTGTCTTAAAGATTTTCACGCCGCCTGTACAAGGGGGGACAGGGGTCACCCTTTAATGCGGTACGCACACACACGCAAGTTCACGTTATTATATTTATACCTGTCAACGTTGTGTGGTGTGTCTCATTTCGAGACGGGAGTACACGACATATCCTGACCGCACTGATCCGGACAAGTTACCCCGACTACACAACACATCTAGACGGCCTTCCTTTCCAGTGTGAGGAATACTTCAACACTCCACGGCGGAGGTGTAACGAAAAGAAGGGCTGACGTTGCGACCAGGGCGTTAGTTCGTTCTGCACTAACCAGCTATAAGTAACACCCCCCTCCTCCCCACAATCTATCTATATCTCAACAACATTCATCTATCTCAAGCGATACTAAATCCAAAGCAAATACGTATCCCATCTAAGAAAATTAATGTAAAGGAAAAACAAAACACATAAAAAATGTAAAACCTAACGCGACCGCGCCCGTGGCACACTGATGGGGACTATATAATCACAAGTAGTAGTAGTAAAATATGAACTAATATTTATAAAACAATGTTAGATTTAGAACATTTCATCGATCATTGAACTTCAACTAACCTCATAGTATTTTATTTTTATGAAGTCATGTTCACGGACATTATGAAGGTATGCACTGATTACATGAAACAGGGACAGTAGTCTTTTGGTAGGGGGGAATGACTTCTCTGCAACACAAACTGACTGTCGGGAGGACCAGGTCAGTCCTCGTCACAAATGGACCCACCTCAGGTCTCTCCGCCTCGACCAGGCCTGTCAGTCCCCAGCGACATATCCTCCGAAAAGTACATCCGCACCCGGCTGGCGAGGTGGAGACTAACCGACTGTGGTCGGTCCTCTAGGTGTCCCTTGAAGTAGGGTATGTTGGTGTGTTGTGTTATATGTGTGCTCACTCTTCTCAGACGAATTTTTCCGACGTTTTGATCTTGTCCTTCAACAATTTGATAGAGTAGTAACATTTTTCTTCCCCTTTACCATTAAGAAGTTAAAATACAACGGATTTTAGACCTATTCCCTAACTTCCTTCGGAACTTATTTCGTCCTTTTGTGATGCATACTAGAAGTTGAAACTTCACTTTCTACCCTCTGCTACTATCGGACACACAACTTCACATTAACATAGTGACATATTATATTATATATATAATAATATATATTATATATATATATAGTTATTATACATTTGTAAACTTTACATACAATTAAATGGAAAACCATAAAGCCTAGAAACCGTTGTAACAAAGCAAGTTGAAGTACGGTTATTTCGGGGAAACTTAAACTTAAACTATAGTATGAATTAGATAGATCTTTTTAGACACCGTCTTTCCTTCCTTCAATTTGATCGTTAAGACCACACACATGGAACCACTATTCCGTTCATTACTTTTTAATAACAACTAAAGAGAGCAGTTTCAATGATGATTGTTGTGTCGAGTGCTAATACAATAAAGTATGTATATTAACATTTTATTAAAAGTTTTGTGGACAACCGGGAATCAAAACTAGTTTGCAACGAGTTTGTCCTGTATAAAGAGGCAGTCTGTAAAGGTGGTCATAGTACACATTATTTCGTCACGAACAATTATTGAGCATTTACTGAACGGATAAGAATAACGTCAGTAATTGCTAAAAAGATTTTTAGTAGTGGTCTGGAAATAATCTTTTTACTAGCCTGATTAGAGATGAGGATAGATATAGAGTTGTTGTAAGTAGATAGAGTTCGCTATGATTTAGGTTTCGTTTATGCATAGGGTAGATTCTTTTAATTACATTTCCTTTTTTGTTTTGTGTATTTTTTACATTTTGGATTCGCTTGGCGCGGGCACCGTGTTGACTACCCCTGATATAGTGTCATCATCATCATTTATTACTTGATTATAAATATTTTGTTACAATCTAAATCTGTAAAGTAGCTAGTAACTTGAAGTTGATTGGAGTAGCCTAAAATAAAAATACTTCAGTACAAGTGCCTATAATACTTCAATACGTGACTAAATGTACTTTGTCCCTGTCCATCAGAAAACCATCCCCCCTTACTGAGGAGACGTGTGTTTGACTGACAGCCCTCTGGTCCAGTCAGGAGGCAGTGTTTACCTGGGTGGAGTCAGAGAGGCGGAGCTGGTCCGGACAGTCAGGGTCGCTGTAGAGGAGGCTGTTCATGTAGGCGTGGGCCGACCGCTCCACCTCTGATTGGCTGACACCAGCCAGGAGATCCACAGGGAACTTCATCCCTACAACACACAACACAATATACACACGAGTGAGAAGAGCTGCTTAAAAGGCTGCAAAACTAGAACAGGAAGTTGTTAAACTTATCTCATCATTGTTAAAAAGAAGGGGAAATGGTAATTCTTCAATTTTATGTTGCCTAAAATCTGATAGGGATTGAAGGAAGCCTTTGAATAAAGCAGGAAAACACTAGTATGATCTTCAAACTTTGTAAAGTGAAAGATGGGGAGAGATGATAGCCTGTGTGTTGAAGTAGTAATTGTATCACTGTATATATATATATATATATATATATATGTATATATATATCAATAATATGTAAACATTTGAAATGTATGTTAATTACTTTGTATTTCGATGCTTTGGCAACATTGTTTCGTTCAACTTTCATGCCAATAAAGCCCCTTTGAATTTGAATTTGATATCATACTTAATCTATCTAGAAAAATCTGTGGCAGAAAGGAAGGAAGTTAAACTAGCAATTCTGGTGTGTGTACTTGAGTGATAAGGCAGTAATGAAAAATTATTGTTGATTTCTCTCGTCAAAGTACTACTAACAACAACAGCTCACGATTATGTTATTTCATACATATAATTGTAAAATAATTTTCAAAAACACCTGTTGGCCTTAGTTTTGATCAAACGTTGCTCAAACAGGACATATTTCTCCGTCAGACATTTCCACAGTATCATGTGTAATAAAGCAGTGCTTGTTATAACTCGTAACTGATTGCTTCCTTATGCAGTCATTAACGATTTTTCTAAATCATCACCAGACCTTTATTAGAAATGATCGGACTAAATCTCTACTCACATTGGTGTCCTTATACCAGATACACTGACACAACGGGAACGTTGACTTTAATTAAGTACAACCTCAGTGTAACATCACATCCCCCCCGACCCCTGCACATGCCTCTGAGCCAGCAGGAGTCATGCACCTGAACTTAACCTGCCACAACTAATGCGGATAATCCTCAGTGACCTCATGCTCATTAACTGAGACTCACTTTCAAAATGTAGCTTTAGTTAGAATAAGAATCCAACTTTAGTTTCTACTTACTAGTTATTATGACTAGACTGTTTGATTCATTAAGATTGACTGACAAAGAATGGAGATAACGTTGCTAATATGCAGAGTTTGTAACTTGAGAAAAATAATTATTCCGTTACTATTACTAGTAACCCGTAAAAGAATGTTATCAGTAACCTTATCTTAGTATCAAAATATAAAAGTAGTGTAACATGAATCAGTTTTGTGACTTTTGGATTACCTTGTTATCAAATGCAATGTAAATAAATAAAATACAACAATAAGAAGGTTTTTACTTAGGTGAATTGAAAATAAGAAAACCAAGATACTTAGCATCAAACATGATTTTACGTATACGAAAAGCTGCCTTTCACTCAGCATATTCTAGTCTACACACTGAAACACATGAGCACATACTACAGCTTAAAAAAGCAGAAATAGAATGTGAGCTGACAGAAAATGCTCCGTTTTAGTACAACTGAAACGTAATACAGTTACCTTTTTTTGTATCGTGATAACATAATCCCGTATTGTGATCAATTACTCACCAAGCCTATGTCAAGTAGAGTCAATGTGTCGTGCCTGTGCTGTGTTCAATGCATCTGCACTGTCTGAGTATTTGCCAATCAGCGTGCTCCAACAAGTCATTAAATACTTATTGTGCAATTAAACACTTTGAAGGTGGTTTAAGTATTTAGGGCAGGGATGGGCAACTTTGATGGTGGCGGGGGCCACATAATGTACTGGCCACCAGG